GAAGAATGTTGTTAATAGTGTTGGCTCTCTACCATGGATGGTCTTCAGATTAGGCCAGGCATTGGCTGGACATTCCCTCTATCTCTGCTCTATCTTTATCCAAGCACATCTTGTAGGCAGGGTAAGTTCTGGATCAAAGATTTTGTGGGTGAGTTGCTGCTCCCTATTAGGAGTCCTGTCTGCTTAGAGGCTCTCTTCTCCATACTCAATTTTGTTTTGGAAAGTTATTCTTTTTCCTGAAACTTTGACTTAGTTTTGCTATATATAATTGTCTAGATGGACAGCTGTTTCTTTAAGAATTTGGAGTAATTTTCTCCAAGAATCAACTCCTGGTTTCATTGCTTCTTTATATTGCTCTCTTTGTTTCTAAGGTATTGATTTCAGCCCTGATTTTATTTCCTGCCATCCTCTCCTCTTTGGTGTGCCCCAGATGTTTGAATATGTTTGCCTTCATTTTCATTGAATTCTAGAAAGTTTTTAATTTCTTTATTTCTCCCCTGACACAGTGATCTTTGTTTAGAGTTCTTCATTTTCCATGAGTTTGTATGTTTTCTGTTGTTTCTGCTGTTGCTGAGTTCCAGCTTTAAACCATAATGGTCTGACAGATACAGGGGATTATTTCAATCTTTTTCTATATGTTTAGACTTGCTTTGTAGCCAAGTATGTAGTCAATTTTGGAAAATGTTCCATTAGGTGCTGAGAAGAGTATATATTATTCTTTTGTGTTGGGTGAAATGAACTGTAGATATTTGTTAGGGCCATTTGATTCATCACATCCGTTATTATCATTATTTCTTCCTTTAGTTTCTGTCTTGATGACCTGTCCATTGGTGAGAGGGGAGTGCTGAAGTCTCCTGCTATTAATGTGTGGGGTAAGTGTGTGACTTAAGCTTTAGTAATGTTCAGAATTGAGATGTCATCTTGCTGTATTTTTTTTTTTATCAGTATGAAGTGTCCTCCGTGTCTTTTGATTAATTTTGTTTGAAAGTCTATTACATTAGATACTAGAATGGCTATTCCAGCTCATTTCATGTGTCTGTTTGCTTAGAAAACTTTTTGCCAGCTCTTTACTCTGAGGTAACATCTACATTTATTGCTAAGGTGTGCTTTTTGTATGCAGCATAATTATGGGTCCTGTTTTCCCATCTATTTTATTAGCCTGTGCTTTTTATTGGCGAGGTGCGGCAAATGATTTTGAGAGATATTCATGACCACTAGTTCTTCATTCCTGTTTTGTTTGATGTTGGTGGTGGTAGTGTGTGTGTGTGTGTGTGTGTGTGTTTGTGTGTGTGTGTGTGTGTGTGTGTGTGTGTGTGGTATGAGTGTGCTTCCCATCTTTTGGTTTTGCTAATGTGAGGTTATTTATTTCCATTTTTTTTTTTCCTGGGCGCAGTTAGCCTCCTTTGGTTGATGTTTTCCTTCTACTATCTTCTGTAAGGATGGGTACTGTTTAAATTTGTTTTAGTTGTGGAATATCTTGTTTCTTCCTCTATGACACTTTAAAGTTTTGCTGAGTATAGTAATTGTGGTTGACTTTTGTGGTCTTTTGGTGTCTGTGAGCCTGAAGTCCAGGCCCTTCTGGATTTTAGAGTCTCTGGTGAGAAGACAGGTGTAATTATGATAAGTCTGTCTTTATATGTGACTTGGCCTTTTATCCCTTGCAGCTTTTAATATTCTCTCTTTTTTTCTGTACATTTGGTGTTTTGATTATTATGTGGAGGGAGGATTTTTTATTTCTGGCAAAATCTATTTGGTGTTCTATAAAGTTCTTGAACATTTTTATTCATCTCTTTGGAAGTCAATCTGGTGCTTTTTCATAAAATCGGGAATAGCTCTACGTCAAGACCCAGCTATACCACTCTTGGGTATATACCCATAGGCTGTTCCATCATGTAACCAGGACATTTGCTCAACTATGTTCATAGAAGCTTTAATCATGATAGCCATGATCTGGAATCAACTGAGATGTCCCTCAGCTGAAGAATGGATACATTGTTGTACATTTACACAACGAAATAACCCAGCTATTAAAAACAAGGAAATGGTGAAATTTGCAGGCAAATGGATGGAACTAGAAAAGATCATCCTGAGTGAGGTAACCCAGACCCAGAATGATACACATGATACATACTCACGTCTAAGCAGATCTTAGCCACATAGTACTGCATAAACATAATACATTTCATAGACCCAAAGAAGATAAGTAACAAGGAAGACACAAAGGAGGATGCTTAAATCTCACTCAAAAGGGGAAATAGAATAGTCACATGAGTTATTATTATTATTATTATTATCATCATCATCATCATCATCATCATCATCATCATCATCATCTTAACCATTCTGCTGCAAGTACTATTAGTCTTGTCCACTGATTCAGAGAATGTGTTGAGGCAAATGGAGCCTGTGCACGGTGATACAGACAATCCACAGCCCATCCAAAGCTAATACAGCATCACCTCTCCACCTTTGATTTCTGGCCTTAGAGCATAGTCTTGGTCTTCCTGTTTCTGCCACTGAGAAGTCATCTCCCTGAGACTTTGCTAAAGCACGTATTTATCACATTTCTGTTGTCCATTCCTTAATGTATGAGCACCTAGGCAGATGCATTTACATAAACTTTTGAGGAACTATTATGATTTTCCATTTCCATTTTTTTTCCAGACAGTGTAGCTCTGTGGCGCTTTGGCTGTCCTGGATTCACTCTGTAGATCAGGGTGGCAAGGGAGGTGAACTGGCTATATCAAAATAAAATGGTGAAGTGTTATCATATACACATAATAAACATATTGTAACACAGATGCTGCTAAATCATCCATTTCATCCATGCTTTCTGTAACAATAACCTCTATTGCTTCAACCCAAGAGCCGACGATATAGCAGGAAGAATGCAAATTGGGACGCAGAGGCTCTGCTCATGAAAGCCAGTCCAGGCTGACCCTGTAGCTCCAGCAGAGGGGCTCAGTCCTGAGTTCCCCAGTCTTCCCGTTCAGTGATCAGCACCGCACACAGACCTCTCACCGTGAAGGTGTGGCTCAACTCGATCTGGTTTTTGCCTCTTTTAAATGGTAATTCGTGGGACACAGAGATGCTGAGTGTGTGAGTGCCCAGAGGTAAGAGGGCCAGTGGCTGTGTGTGACAGTTTCCTGACCAAGATTCTCTGCTCTTGCAGGTATCCCGTGTGAGAGGCAGCTGGTGGAGTCTGGGGGAGGCTTGGTGAAGCCTGGGAGTTCTCTGAGACTCTCCTGCGCAGCCTCTGGATTCAGCTTTGATGATGCCTGCATGCACTGGGTGCGCCAGCCTCCCGGGAAGGGGCTGGAATGGGTTGCTACCAGTAGAAACCAAGCCGATAGTTTCACCACAGAGTACAGCCTATTTGTGGAGCACCGGTTCACCATCTCCAGAGAGAATTCCCAAAACATCCTCTACCTTCAAATGAACGGCCTGAGAGTTGAGGACACTGTAACTTACTACTGTAGAGGAGAGAGACAGTGAGGGCAGTGCCTGTGAGCACCGACACAAACCTCCTTGCAGAGGTGTTCAGCACCAACAGGGGGCGCGCATGGTCAGAAAAAGAGAAAAGGCCTTGCCTCTCCATGTACTAATTTTCCTTAGGAAAGTTCTCTGGAGCGTTTACAATGCTGTATTAATGCACAAGTCCCTTCCTTGGAAAGTGGCCACTAAACAGAATGGCTGAACTCTGAGAAACTGTAATATGGGTGTAAATATCTATATGGCAAGAGGGAAATCCTGGAGACATGATTTCCTATAGGAAATCAAACAAACAAACAAACAAACAAACAAACAAAACAGATAAGTGTTCTTTTTAATTATGTATTGCCTTTAGACACATTTCTCTGCAGCCTGTTGTGCAATTCTTTAATACGTAGAACTTTCGCCATACATGACACTTTCAGCTTTCCTTTGATAAATCGTTACTGGCTTGTTCTAAACCAAGAACTGCGGGCTTGGTAAAAGATTATTATAGCAATGCATTTCTCATACTTGAAATTTATTTACGTAATATAAAGCTATTACTTAAATAAAATGTAAGATGGGGATTTATTTGTACAGTGTGGATCATTAGTGAAAAAACAAATTTCCTAAACTTAATTAAAAAACAGTTTGTATTATATATTATATTAAAATAATTTTATATTTCAGTTTTGTGATGGATTTTTTACACTGACAAAATATAAAACTCTGCCTCATTTTTACATAATTCAATTGCCTAGTATTCATTAAAAAAGAATTCCTGGTTCCCTATTAATTTTAAATTGTGGCATTAGCTAAATGTCCTTAGTTTACAAATTTAATCCAGTTAATGCTCTTTTTCTAATTCCTTTTTATATTTTTTCTAAAGCAGAAGAAAGTTGAATGATTAGTCAGATATTTTTATAGAATCAGACAGTTAGCATTAAGAATAGTATCATGCTTTCCAATAGACTTTTCTTTGCCAGTTTAAGGCAAATGTTGTGTTTGTGCTTTAAAAAATCCATCAGCTCTTTTTTCCTTTGTACAGAATGGTTCTTATTGTATGATATTAAAACAATGTAATACTATATTTTAAATGATCATCCAAAAATTTGCCTTGTATTGTAAATAATACTTAAAAGCTTGTTTTGTAAGTTACTGTATAGAATAATGAGTTCTCAGTCACTTGAGCTTCCTTTTTTGAGAATTTTCTGTTAAATATGTACTCCAGTTTTAATTGGGCTATTTGTTCTCTTGATCTTCTGTTTCTGTTTGATTGGTCTTTTTCTTGTTGTTGTTGTTGTTTAGGTATTTTAAGTATTATCCCTTCACTAGGATTAATTTCCCATAAATTAATTAATTTACAGAAGGTCTGTTGTCAGTGGCTATATGAAGTGGGAAGTCAAAGGTATGTGAGCTTTCTGAAGGGTAATCCAATATTTTGCAAGGTCTATACTGAGGAATAAATATGAGCATCTCAGAGACCGTGCCCAGAATTGATTCCTCATTCTGACACCCCGTTTTGTGATTCTGTGTGTCTCATAAATCTGGCATGGTACGAAGCCCCCTCAGTCTGTGTATTTACCCGTTCTACAGGACCCTTATGAAGATGTATTTATTCTCCAATGAATTAATGCTTTCATGAATTTCCTGACATGACTCAAATAATTTGAAGAAGTTAAGTATAAAGTGGCAATAAAAAGCCTGTGAGCCTCCAGTGGCAGGCACATAATTTACTTTAGGGTGAAGTTGGGCCTGAGACCAATTTACTGACTAAAGTTAAACTTCCCTTTAGGTCAGTAGGTCTCAGAACTAGGACAAATAAAAATGATTGCCTTTTACTCATAGATAACTGAAAGCTGTTTAATTTAGAAGCAGTTTTAATGGGAAAGACATAAATAATTATCTTGCTAAAACCCCTTGGATACTATTAACCTTAATCCTTGTCAGACTCTATCATAAAAATTATTGTTCTGAACTTAAAATGGAGTCATACATAACTAATGTGTAGTTAGGACAAGTAATTAATAATTCTATTGTCCTCATGAAATTGAAATGCTTCTGTAAAGCAAAGAACACTGTCATCAAAACAAAAACACTGCCTACAGATTGGGAAAGAATCTTCACTAATCCTTTATCTGACAGAGGACTAATATCCAGAATATGCAAAGAACTACAGAAGCTGAAAAGCAGCAAACCAAGTAATCCACTTAAAAAATGGGGAACAGAGCTGAACAGAGAATTCTCGACAGAGGAATATCGAATGGCAGAGAAACACTTAAAGAAATGCTCAACCTCATTAGCCATTAGGGAAATGCAAATCAAAACGACCCTGAGATATCACCTTACACCCAGCAGAATGGCCAAGATGAAAAACTCAAGTGACAACACATGCTGGAGAGGTTGTGGAGAAAGGGGAACCCTCCTCCACTGCTGGTGGGAATGTAAACTGGTACAACCACCCTGGAAATCTATCCTGCGCTTTTTAAGACAATTAGGAATAGTGCTTCCTCAAGACCCAGCTATACCACTGCTAGGTATATACCCAAACTTTGCTCAAGTACACAAAAGGGATACTTGCTCAACCATTTTTATAGCAGCTTTATTTGTAATAGCCAGAACCTGGAAACAACCCAGATGTCCATCAACTGAGGAATGGGTACAGAAATTGTGGTATTTTTACACAGTGGAATACTACTCAGCAATCAAAAAGGAGGAAATCATGAAATTTGCAGGCAAATGGTGGGATCTAGAAAACATCATTCTGAGTGAAATATCACAGGAGAAAGACAAACACGGTATATACTCACTTATATAGACCTACAAGATATGATAAACATAATGAAATCTACACACCTAAAGTAGATAATCAAGAGAGCGGACATGGGGTAAGATTATCAATCCTCGTTTTGAAAGACAGATGGGATGTGCATTGAACGTATGACAGGAGTCTACTGAGTGCATCTGAAAGACTCTAACTAGCAGTGTTTTCAAAGCAGATACAAAGACTCATGACCAAACCTTCGGCAGAGTACAGGGAATCATATGAAAGAAGGGGAGTTAGTATGATGGGGAAAGGATAGGAGCTCCACAAAGACCAAATATATCTGGGCACAGGGTCTTCTCAGAGACTGTCATTCAACCAAGGACCATGTATGGATATAACCTAGAACCTCTGCTCAGATGTAGCCTGTGGCAGCTCAGTAACAAATTGGTTTCTCATAGTGAGGGGAACAAGGACTATTTCTAACAGGAACTCAATGACTGGCTCTTTGACCTCCCCACCCCCAAGGGAGGAGCAGACCTGTTAGGCCACAGAGGAGGGCATTGCAGCCAGTCCTGAAGATATCTGATAAAATAGGATTGGATGAATGGGGAGGAGGTCCCCCCCATCAGTGGACTTGGAAAGGGGCATGGTGGAGATGAAGGAGGGAGGGTGGGATTGGGAGAGAATGAGAGAGCGGGACATGGCTGGGATACAGAGTTAAAAAAAATGTAACTGATAAGAAAAAATATAATTAAATTTTAAAAAAAGAAAAAAGAAAAAAAAAGAAGAGAGTTTGGATACTTGCATATTAAGCAGGATCTCAACAGTACATTCTAATCTAGGGCTTATTACTTCCATCCATAGGCTTTAGCCTAGGTGAGTAGCACCAGGAATGCAAGGCCGGTGATTGCTCCCCATGAACTAATGGTACCATCCTAACATACCAAAGATGAAACTTACATATCTAATTGAAGATTGAAAAGTAGAGACGGTGCCTAATTAGAGCTTTCACCACTGTGCCTGTTATCCATGGTTCTCAAGGGTACACTACCAGAGGAGAAAGGTGAGCTTGAACTCAACAACAAATTCTTAACCTAATTACCATACCCATCATCATCTCAACTCAAATTCATCCTATATAAAACTCCCTCCCCCAAAACATCATGACTTCTTCAAAGTCAACTAATATCTTACCAGTGTGTTTGTGTGTATAACATATTGAACCCAATGTTATGCACATGTACATGTGATTAGAGCAGTAAACTTGCGATTGAACAACCATTCATGAAGCGTAGCCTTGGAGAAAAGTGATTCTCACTCTCAGCTGCCTTTGACTACCTGTAGATCTTCATTTAAGGATCGGGATCGAGGGGTTCCCACCTCAATTATTGATGTCTATTTTAGGCATCAGTATTGTTGAGATTTTATGGGAGCATCATTCCTGTCTTAATAGAAGATACCCCTAGATCTTATAATCTTTCTGGCCCCATCCAAGAATTTTCCCTGAGCCTCATGTGTAGGGTTTGTATTGAAGCTGTATCTCCAATAGTTGGGCATCCCAGGTCACTTGTTCCCTGCATGTTTACCTGATATGGATTTCTGTAGTAGTCTCCATTTGGAATTAAATAGAAAAGCTTTGAAGAGGGGGAGGGAACTTTTATCTGAGGGTAAAAGAATATGCTTTTGTCAATACACTGATGA